GTCCTTCCTAGGTCAGGAGGCTAGGGTAGGTCTACAGATTTACCACAACAAATTATGGGATCTACCTGACACCTATAAATATAGTTTACAGGCCTGGGTCTTTGTTTTCTTAAGTAGAGATCTAAGGTTTTAGAAACTGATGTTAACCACACTATTTTGTGACATCTCATGACCTTGGTGGGCTGTTGTGATCTTAACAGAGGCTGTTAAGAATCAGAAGTTTAATTACAATGTTTTCCCCTCACAGTCCTTGAAGAATCATGCATATCTCCATCACTCATGGCTAACTGCTACCTAACAGCACAAAGGGAAAAGAGGAAATTATGCAAGAGTAGTTAAAAGGTATGGAGAATGGAAGAGGAGGTCTCACATTCATCTAGTTGTATGATTGGAATTCAAGAAGGAAAGAATAAGGGACAGATAATATCCAAAGAGATAATGGCTGAAAAAGATTAAGAAAGTTAGAGTTTTGAGTCAAAAACAAAACAACAATGAAAAACTCCACAAATTCCACAGGTAAACACTTTGTATTGAAACTACCAAACCCCCAAAACAAAAAGATCTTTCAAACAACCAGAATAAAAAGTCAGACTGCCCACAAGGTAAATTGGCCTCCCACCTCTTTTTGGTGGCAAGGATAAAATCCAGAGATTTGTTCAAAATGTGGTGGAAAAGAATACCCTAGCATTGTATTTCTAGCTCAGTACCACTCAAGAGTCAGGGCAGCGCTATTCACAGTAACCAACCGTGAAACCAACCTTGGCATCCATCAGAGGATGAGTGGTAAAGAAAGTGTCGTAGATACTCACAGTGAGTTTTATTCTGCCATGAAGAAGAACGAAATTGTCATTTACTGGAAAATGGAGCTGAGATAATCATGTTAAGTGAAACGAACCAGGTCCCACAGAGACAAACATTGTATATTTTCTCTCATTTATGGAAGCTAGGAAAAAACTCAAACAAATCAAGGTCATGAAAGTAAACGGGGAAGAGGGGAAGGAGGATGGAAAGAGTAGAAGGGGTGAGCATCATCAAAGTACATTATATGCGTGTATGGAAATACCACAAGGAAGCTCCTTATACAGCTAATATATACCTAATTAAAAATGAATTAGGGCAAAACTGTTTTCTCAGACTTTCACCAAAGGAAACAACCAGAGGAAGGATTGAATATAAGAAGGAATGGAATAGTGGGCCAAGGAAATTGGTAAAAATGTGGGTGAACCTAAAGCATGAATTCTGTTACTTAGAGTAAATTGAGAGCATACTGAGAGGTAAAAGCAAAGAGCAAAAGTATTAGTCAATAATGACATATAACTTTATCATTCTTATTAGTTGAGGGGAGGGAGAAAATATTAGAAATATTGTTAAACTTCCAACTTGGTTAAATCAAGAATGCATATTACATTTTAAGGGTAACCATTAAAGAAGGTAAGTTGAATACAGTTAGTTTTTCCTGGTATCAGAGGAGTATTGGTTCTAGGACCTGGTGGATACCAGAATCCGCAGATACTCATCTCATATAAAATGGCACAATATTTGTATAACTCCACAACATTCTCCTGTATACTTTAAATCATTTGTAGCTTAATTATACTACAGATGATTTCAACTATAATGAAAAATTGGAGGCTGAGTAATATATAAATTAAAGAGGTTTATTTAGCTGACAGTTTTGGAGTCTGAGAGTCCAAACAGCATTGCACTAGCTCTGGGCAAAGGCCTCCCTGGCTGTGTCACCTCATGACATGGTATCACAAGAGGGATCAAGTCATAGGTGAGCTTGTTGGAATTACCAGATTAAATTTTTAATTTTTTTTCTCACCCAGGGCCTCACTATTTTTTTTTTAATTCAGATACTTCAAGTATTTTTATTTTATTTTATTTTTTTATTATTTTATTATTCATATGTGCATACAAGGCTTGGTTCATTTCTCCCCCCTGCCCCCACCCCCTCCCTTACCACCCACTCCGCCCCCTCCCTCTCCTCCCTACCCCCTCAATACCCAGCAGAAACTATTTTGCCCTTATTTCTAATTTTGTTGTAGAGAGAGTATAAGCAATAATAGGAAGGAACAAGGGTTTTTGCTGGTTGAGATAAGGATAGCTATACAGGGATTTGACTCACATTAATTTCCTGTGCGTGTGTGTTACCTTCTAGGTTAATTCTTTTTGATCTAACCTTTTCTCTAGTTCCTGGTCCCCTTCTCCTATTGGCCTCAGTTGCTTTTAAGGTATCTGCTTTAGTTTCTCTGCGTTAAGTGCAACAAATGCTAGCTAATTTTTTAGGTGTCTTACCTATCCTCACCCCTCCCTTGTGTGCTCTCGCTTTTATTGTGTGCTCAAAGTCCAATCCCATTGTTGTGTTTGCCCTTGATCTAATGTCCACATATGAGGGAGAACATACGATTTTTGGTCTTTTGAGCCAGGCTAACCTCACTCAGAATGATGTTCTCCAATTCCATCCATTTACCAGCGAATGATAACATTTCGTTCTTCATGGGAAGAAGATAGGGAAAAAATGAATAGATGGAGAGGTTCAAGTGCAAATGCGGTATCTAAAAAAGGGCCTAGTGGACATTCCACACATGAAAATAACAGTACTTATGCTTAATAAGAATTTATTGGATGGAATTAACAGCAGACTAGATAAATCAGAAGAATGGACTGAAGAACTTCAAGACAAGTCAATTGAAATTATTCAAGCTGAAGTGCTATGAAAGTGAGATTAAATATTGATTTAAGGTAATCCATAGGATAAACTGATGGCTAAGATTATGATTTCTTTTGGCCAGGATTAGGGTAAAGACATTGAATTAAAAAGAGGATAAATAAAAAGTTATTAGAAATATGTTATTTTAATTATTACAAGTGAAGAATTGGCAATATTTAGTAGGAGGTCAGATGTGGATGTAACCAGTTGGAGGAATTAAATCTTGTAGCTAAAATGTAACCTATTTTTTTTTTTGATGGATACTGTGCAGTTTGTTTTTTATTCATTATCTCTATGAGCATTATCTTTTTACTAATGAAACAAACCTTGTCTCCAAATGGTTAAGTGACTAGTTAATAGCCCACACTTGGATTTAGTCTAGGTCTGGCTGCTCTGAGCTCTGTTCCTTTTCCTGAATATTTCACATTGTTTCTGGTTTGTGAGACTGGATGAATGTAGTATCGTGGGCCCAACTAGAAGTTATTGGAAGAGGAAGAATTTGGAAGTATGAAGTGCCTGTGATATATCTTAGGAGAGATGTCCTTGACAGAGTTGTAAATACTGCACTGCTAGCACAGAGCAGCAGGCTAGGGTTAGAAGTGTAGCTTTGAGCATGGTCTGATTATAGGTGATGCTTGAAGCTGTTAAACAGATGGATTCGCTAATAGATGGTGTTGAGAACCTTTGGGAAAACTTCAAGTATGAGTAGGAGGAAGACTGGGTGCCCCCAAAGGAGAAAGGGAGCATGAGTCAGAGAAACATGGAACAGTAAAAAAGTAGTTTCATGGAAATCAAGGGAATAGCTGAGAGTTTGTAGAATGAAGAAATGATCACTTATTTCACAAACTCACAGTGTGCCACACACGGTGCTGAGTGCTAGCAATATACCAAAGATCTGACCAGATGAAAATCCTGCCCTCAAGGAATAGGTTTTGGTGGGGAAGGTGGAAATGAATGAAAGCAAGGAAAGAGAGAGTTAATGCCAGAAGGTACCAGGGACTAAGAAAATTGACCTGAGGAATGAGAGTCAACCAGAAAAAATGGGGGAAGAACATTTCAGACAAAAACTAGTGAGCATTAAAGGCAGTACTGAGTGTGGTTGAGTTGAGGCCAGTGTGGCTAAAGTTGAGTGAGCAAGGGGAAGGGTGATGGAGATTGGATAGTTGTGGGGCTAGTGCACAAGGCCTGCAGTGTGGTGAGAAGCCACTGCCAGTTTCTAAGGAGAGGCAGGTGTGACTCATGTTTTAAGAGGATTCTGGTTGCTGTGTGTAGGATGCATTGTGGGGAGCTGGAACGGAAGCAGTCTGGCAAAGTAGGCCTTTCATGCTGTGGTGCATGGCTGAGATTAACAATGCTGTATTTGGACCACACACCTTGAGAGACTGCTCCTTATTTGTGTTGCAGTGACATTTTTCTAGATTCTAAGACTTCACTGTCATTTTCCAGAGAATGATAGAAGGGATTCTGACAGCTTCTTTTTCTTTTGTGCTTGAAATAATTTCATTAGCTGTTTGGGGAGGAAAATTCATGCTATTGGATGTTGATGACACTTATGCCTTATTCCAATAAAAAAAAGAGAGAACATAATGGGATAAATTCTTTTGAATCATTTGTTCAGTTGTCAGCTTCTGTTAGAACATTTGTTTATGCTCCCAACTCTGCTTATAGCTGGTAAACATTTGTTTAGATTGTGTACTTTTTATTTTGAGTATATTTATATTTTGAGTATATATGTTATTTTTGGTATAAGAAATTTCAAACGTAGGCAAAAACAGAGAATATAATGTAATAAATACTATGTATATCTCTCATTTTGTATCAGCCAGCTCATGGCTGATTATTTTGTTTGTTTATTTATTTATTTACAAGACAGAGTCTCACCATTGTAGCCAGGCTGGCCTGGAATTTGTAATAATTCTGCCTCACCCTCTTGAGTGCTGGATTACAGACATGAGCCACCATCTCTGGCTCATGGCTAATCCTGTTTCTTTTTTTTTTTTTTAATACCTTTAGATACTCCTTGCCACCCTCATCCTGTTTATTTTGAAGCAAATTGCAGGCATATCATCTAATCTCTAAATAGTACAATATATACTTTTAAAAGGCAACGACTTCCCACATTTTGGTGCTTTGTTTTTTTCTTTGAGCATCTAAGTAGGCAATATGTATGGGTGGTTTGCCTGTGAGGATCCCAATTTACACTTGTTGTAGTGTATTATGAATAGTACTCCTTTCACTTAAAAGCATTGCTGTCTAAACAATAAATTCTATATATGAAGAGAAGCCTTTTCAGAGGGACAGTAAGTAAATTCTTTAGTAGCACCTTCAGTACTGAGCATTTTTCTGATAGTGTGTCACTTTTCTGTTTTTTCATTAGATCAGGAGAACAAGCCTTGGCATTCACTATTTCAAGAAATTATGAACTGAAGTATAAAATTGCATAAGCCAGAGAAAGGAAGAATGCTGACACATATGGTAAGGACTGAGGGAATTGACCACCTTGTCTTGATTCTGCCTTCCTTTTTCCCTTCCATTTCATTCTTTATCTTGCCTTGATCATCACTGCAGCAGAGGGATTTAAACTTTTGAATCAAAAGGACAATGCGAATGCTTTTGAGAGCCTGATCTCTCCATGATCTTTGGATGTTTGGCTGGCTGTTGATTATCCAGTTTAAATTATCCACATTCAGCCTCTTCCAGGGCAGGTATTTTTGTTTTTTATCACTTGCTGTGCCTAAAGCCTGTTAGTAAGGCTGTCATCATCTTTTGTTCTTACCTAATGGGAGAAAAGACTATCAAATGTTGCTACTTACACATCTGGAAGAAAGGTAGAAGCTGGAGAAAGTGGTTGAACCTCTGTGAAGTAGCACTTACTTTATTGTACTGGTACCTTTGCTGTTTGTTTATATCTTCTTTTTTTTAATGGGGGGAGGTGCTGGGGATTGAACTCAGGGCCTTGTACATGCCAGGCAAGTGCTCTACCTCTGAGCTACATCCCCAGCCTGCTAACACCTCATCTCTTAGACTAAATGAAGTTCCATGAGGTCATGGGTTGTTATACATTCTAGATTCTTCTTCAGTTATACTTAGTGTGTCTTAGATGTGCAAAAGTATGTTGGAGTGTGTGTGTGTGTGTGTGTGTTTAGTTTGCTTTGTTGAGACAGAGCCAGATTGGCCTTGAACTTGAAATCTTCCTGCCTCAACCTCCTGAGTGCTGGGATTACAGACAAGTGTGTGCCACCACACTTGGTTGTGATTTTTTTTTTGGAAGACATGAATGAAAGAAGTCAAATACCCTTGGGTATGTTGCGTATGAGGGGATAGCAGTTGGAAAGCTTCTGTAGTTTGCTTGTAAAGCTTAGTAAGAGAACAGGACTGGGAATGTCGTTTCAAAGTGTATAGTACCCGCCCATACTCTGTGCTTTGTTATCATAGCAGTATAACTCATTTTCTCTGTGTTCTTATCTCTGTTTTAGAAGATAAGGACACTGAGGCATGAGGTCTGGCAGCAAGTCTGTCCTTAAAGGATGAGAAACAATGCCTCTTATTTCTAAGTAGAGTGTTCTTTCTAAAAGCAAGTTACTATTTCTATTTTAAGAAGGAGCACATGATATCTGCTAATGAAAGATAAATAGAAGTAAATTGGAAAACGCCTTTTGTCTCTGAATTGCTGTATCTACTACTGAGTGAAGATCAAGCTAGTTCTCTCCAGCTTTAAATTTGACAAATTGAGCTTCTCAGAGTTGGTTTTTGTTAAGTAGTTCAAAAGGAGACTTTCATATTAAGAGTGAATATAGGTAGCAAGATTGCATAGGAAAGTATTTCTCTGTATCTAATGTTGATGTCCAGGTTTTGAGTAACAAATTGTTCTTGCAGACAGACTTGCCAACTGTTGATTTTGTTGATCATCATTTTATGGGGGTTGTAATGACTCTCTAGATCCCATGGGTGGGTGGGGGGTGTAAACTGAAGTTGTTTAGGTCATTTATCCTTGTCTATTTCTTACTAATCACAAGTAATACATCCATACCAAACAAAATCTCTATATTGGACTTACAGTGTTCCAACCATTGTTCCAACTTAGAAGAGTTAAGTGTTTTCTAGAAATGTACTGGGGCTGCTGGAGGGGGAAGTTGAACATAATCCCTTTAAGACTGACATAGTTCTCTTTCTTTTGCAGGCCTGATAGTTGGCAACGATGTCGATAAGAGGCTGGCATTTGAAATTGCCAGCTGTCTAGCCAGCTACTATATAACTTGAATAGAAACTATGAATATTGGTTGGTTAGCAAAGCCAAGGAACAAAAGCTATGGCAGCTGAAGTGGTTGTTCTGATTCCAGGATATTTTTCCTGGGTTTCATCACCAGAAACTGCCTCTTCATCTGAGCAGCAACGTGGCACCTGTTATTGTTTGACAAAGATTAAGGACATGTTCTTCAGCCAACAGCCAGAACTTAAAATCTGCTGGGATAGAATTAGAGACCATTTCATTCATAGCTGAGGAAAATGAAATTTCCACTTTACCTGGTGCCTTGTGGAGGGAGTGCACTAATGCTTCCAGGAACGTGTGAGTGAAAAAGAGGTTCAACACAAACTCATGGTTATGGCGAGTGACCCAACGTGATCAGAGGGGGCAAGAGCCACAGAGGACTCATGACGGGCTATACCATGTTGCGAAATGGGGGAGTGGGGAATGGAGGTCAAACCTGTATGTTGCGCTGGTCCAACCGTATCCGACTCTCATGGCTCAGTTTCATTCTCTTTATCATTCTGGTGTTCTTCCCCCTCATTGCCCACTATTACCTCACAACTCTGGACGAGACTGACGAGGCGGGCAAGCGTATCTTTGGCCCAAGGGCTGGGAGCGAGCTCTGCGAAGTAAAGCATGTGTTGGACCTCTGTCGCATTCGTGAGTCTGTGAGTGAAGAGCTCTTACAGTTGGAAGCCAAGCGGCAAGAGCTGAATAGTGAAATTGCCAAGCTAAATCTTAAGATAGAAGCCTGCAAGAAGAGTATCGAGAACGCCAAGCAGGACCTGCTGCAGCTCAAGAATGTCATTAGCCAGACTGAGCATTCCTACAAAGAGCTGATGGCTCAGAATCAGCCCAAACTTTCTCTGCCTATACGATTGCTCCCTGAGAAGGACGATGCTGGCTTTCCTCCCCCAAAGGTTCCTCGGGGTTGCCGGCTGCACAATTGTTTTGATTATTCTCGTTGTCCTCTCACCTCTGGTTTTCCGGTCTATGTTTATGACAGTGACCAGTTTGCCTTTGGCAGCTACCTGGACCCCTTGGTCAAGCAGGCTTTTCAGGCTACAGCACGAGCCAATGTTTATGTTACAGAAAATGCAGACATCGCCTGCCTATATGTGATATTAGTGGGAGAAATGCAGGAGCCCCTAGTGCTGCGGCCTGCTGACCTTGAGAAGCAGCTGTATTCCCTACCAAATTGGCGGACAGATGGACATAATCATGTCATCATCAATCTGTCCTGGAAGTCGGACACACAGAATTTACTGTACAATGTTAGTACAGGCCGGGCCATGGTGGCTCAGTCCACTTTCTATGCTGCCCAGTACAGACCTGGCTTTGACTTGGTAGTGTCACCACTTGTCCATGCCATGTCAGAGCCCAACTTCATGGAAATCCCACCACAGGTGCCAGTTAAGCGGAAATATCTTTTCACGTTCCAGGGTGAGAAGATCGAATCCCTGAGATCCAGCCTTCAGGAGGCCCGCTCCTTTGAAGAAGAAATAGAGGGTGACCCTCCAGCTGACTATGACGATCGGATCATTGCCACCCTAAAGGCTGTACAGGACAGCAAGTTAGATCAGGTCCTGGTAGAATTTACCTGCAAAAACCAGCTGAAGCCCAGTCTGCCTACTGAGTGGGCACTGTGTGGGGAGCGGGAGGACCGCCTTGAATTACTGAAGCTTTCCACCTTTGCCCTTATCATCACTCCTGGGGACCCCCACTTGGTTATTTCATCTGGGTGTGCAACACGGCTCTTTGAAGCTCTGGAAGTTGGCGCTGTCCCAGTGGTGTTGGGGGAGCAAGTACAGCTTCCATACCAGGACATGCTGCAGTGGAATGAGGCTGCCCTGGTGGTACCCAAGCCACGTGTTACTGAGGTTCACTTCCTGTTACGAAGTCTCTCCGATAGTGATCTACTGGCTATGAGGCGACAAGGCCGCTTTCTCTGGGAGACTTACTTCTCTACCGCTGACAGTATTTTTAATACCGTGCTGGCTATGATTAGGACTCGAATACAGATCCCAGCTGCTCCTATCCGGGAGGAGGTAGCAGCTGAGATCCCCCATCGTTCAGGCAAGGCGGCTGGAACGGACCCCAACATGGCCGACAATGGGGACCTGGACCTAGGGCCCGTAGAGACAGAGCCGCCCTATGCCTCACCCAGATACCTCCGCAACTTTACTCTGACTGTCACTGACTTTTACCGCAGCTGGAACTCTGCTCCGGGGCCTTTCCATCTTTTCCCCCACACACCCTTTGACCCTGTGTTGCCCTCAGAGGCCAAATTCTTGGGCTCAGGGACTGGATTTCGGCCTATTGGTGGTGGAGCTGGGGGTTCTGGCAAGGAGTTTCAGGCAGCGCTTGGAGGCAATGTGCCACGAGAACAATTCACAGTGGTGATGTTGACTTACGAGCGAGAAGAAGTGCTGATGAACTCCTTGGAGAGACTGAATGGCCTCCCTTACCTGAACAAGGTAGTAGTGGTGTGGAATTCTCCCAAGCTGCCATCAGAGGACTTGCTGTGGCCTGACATTGGCGTCCCCATCATGGTAATAGAAAGACGGGCAGTTTGTTTTACTGCATGAAATAGCTTTTCACTTGTAATGCTTTTTCTAGTTTTCTTTACTTTAGCTGTCCTAACTTTTAATAGAGAGAGTACACTCCCCTTTTTATTTACTTATTTGTTTTGCAGTGCTGGAGATTGAACCCAGGGCCTTGCAGATTTTAACTTAGGGCTTCTTTCCTGCTAGGCAGGCACTCTACCACTTGAGCCATGCCTCCAGCTCCCCCACCCATTTTTTTTTTTTTTTTTTAAACCCGTAGATTTTTTTTCCCCATGAAATTATGCTTGCTGCTTTTTCAGGCCTTGCCAGTTCTGTTGCTCCACCTCACTTCCTAAATCTCTTAAGTGCCTCCACAGTTTCCAGACCCATGAAGGTCTTCAAACCCCATCAGTTATCCCATAGTCTTTGTCCATGCTGGCAATGATAACAATGACGAGAAAGTTCTCATGGAGGAAGAACTTGGAGTTTAGGCATGAGAATTAACATGATATAAATCAGTATCACTGTTTCTTCATTTTACATCCATGGGATCTGAAGCTTAGAGGAGTTAGTTAATTTGCTCAAGGCAGCAATGAGTAATGGAGGAGCTGAGCTTTAGTATGTCTGACTCCATATGCTTTAGCTTTAATCACTCCCAAAGGATTTGGGAAGACCTGTGCCATTTCCCAGGGTACTATAGAAGCCTCTGGGAGACTGGAGTTTGATATTTGGGAGTTGAAAATCTTAAACCTTCTTTTTGCAGGTGTCTTGCAGGTTCTTTCTTCATCTTTATGCCATCTCTCATGGTTAGATGCTAAATTTTACAGAAAAAGTATTAAGTAAAGATGTAGGACAGGGCATGATACCAGAGGGCTATACTGAATTTAGCAATCTGTAAGAGGGATGCACCCCATCTTTATGAAATGTGAGACCTTAGGGCAGGTCTTAACAAACTGCAAAGTGCTTACCTTGCAGTACGGCTGTTTGTAGAAAAAGATACTTTCTGAAGAATGGCAGAAGGTCTGATAGGCCATGCATTACTAGAATCTGCTAAGAAAATTAATGGCTTTTAGGGATGATTTGTCTGGAAGAGGATGTTTGGTCTAATCCAGTTTTGAAAAAATTCATTTCATTGGAGAACTAACTCATTTGAAATGTTTTCTAAACAGTAATGGCATGGTGTAATAGAAAAGCATGTTTTGAAGTGATACAGACCTGGGATTAAGTAGTCATTTTATAAGCTTTGGTAAGTTAATTAGCTTCTTTGACCTCAGTGTTAAACAGAGATCTAAGATAACACACATAGGGTACTAGAAAGGTGTTCAATGATTATTTGGTTTCTTCTTACCCCTTACTGTCAAAGGAGACAGAATCCCATGCAGATATTCTTCTGTGTTATGGATGGGTTTAACTGACTGTGTCCTCCACATAATATCTCTCTCCTGAAGCTATTACTATCTATTCTCACCTACATGAAATACCTAGCAATCTTTATGTTTTCTTTCTTCCTTCTGATGCTAGTCTTGAACCATATTCTTTAATTGAATTCATAATTGGAGCTATTCAAACTAAAGGGTTATAAAAACTTTTAATTCCAGGTGTTTAAAACTTCTGTAAATGGGAGATTTCTTCTATAGATTGCCCCAAATGAATTTCACTTTCTTCCTTTTTCAAATGCAGCTTTATGAGTATCATTGAATTTTTTTAAAGAAGTGCTCTGTGAAAGGTAGATGATACTCAGCTGGAGTAATGAAGAGCCTTTGCTTTCCACTTTCCCTGAGTTTTCTTTGAGTGGGGTAGGGATTGTAGAGAAGCTGGCCACCCTGTAAACAATGATTGAAATTCATCAGAGATTTGCCAGAACCAATCCTTTCTTTAACTCTGGTGGGAAATAAGTGATCCTCTTTGATTACTGGACAGCCTACTGCAATAATACAATACCTAGTTGGAAATGCCAGAAGCTTTCCAAATAGGGAGCCATTCTAAAAAGCTTTCCATATTGGGAATACAACTTTTTTTCTAGTTATTTAAAAATTTCAAGCTGGAGGATTTTACCGTAGTCTCTAAATATTTGAGCTGTGCTTTCTGTTTAAGAGAGACACGTGTTTTGAAGGATAGTTGAAATTGCTAACCTCTTGGGTGTAGGCAGGTATTGGGGTGGAGAAACACTGGCAGCTTTCTCACCCATAGGAAAATGGCACTGTTATGTTTCTCAAAGTTTTCCACCTAGATGCAGACATAACCTAATCATTATGATAGCAACAGGTGGTTCCCAGGCAGCAGATTCCAGCCCTGCAGGGAAGATGATTTGGCTAAATGAATCAACTCAGGAACCTTCATGTCATTTTCAGAGAGTGCTGCACAGTTTGTGCTTCTCTTGTGCTGAGCTTCTCCTTTAGGCAATAGGTATAAATACTGTGAAGTCTGCTGAGTCTGGCTGTTGAAGTGGAGAAGGGTTGTCTTACTGGTATCTGTTAGGGATTACATATTAAAATTCCTCATTCTTTTTTCATGATTATTTGTGTAACCAAGGGGTCTGGCTTAGAGTGAACGAGATCTTTATTCACTGTCCTTGGATACTCTGGTTCCAAATGCTCTATGTAAAGAGAATTTCAGCTCCAGAGGGATTGTCTAGGCAAGGAGATCGTTCTCACCAAGGTGGGAGGAGTGTGGCTTCTTACCTGAATGGCATACTACTGCTGAGGAGTGGCATGGAGATGTTGGCTGTTTGCTCTCACTGTTAAACAGTGAGTCAGTCAGGTTCCTTAGCTGTGGAGCAGAACCACTTTCCGTATCGGATGGAAGTCAAGTGGGGGGTATTGCTGTGTCAAGGAATTTCATGTCCGGTCTTTGTTTTTTTTTTTTTTTTTTTATTTTTTATTTTATTATTCATATGTGCATATAAGGCATTGGGTCATTTCTCCCCCCTGCCCCCATCCCCTCCCTTACCACCCACTCCGCCCCCTCCCTCTCCCCTCCACACCCTCAATACCCAGCAGAAACTATTTTGCCCTTATTTCTAATTTTCTTGTAGAGAGAGTATAAGCCTTAATAGGAAGGAACAAGGGTTTTTGCTGGTTGAGATAAGGATAGCTATACAGGGAGTTGACTCACATTAATTTCCTGTGCGTGTGTGTTACCTTCTAGGTTAATACTTTTTGATCTCACCTTTTCTCTAGTTCCTGGTCCCCTTTTCCTATTGGTCTCAGTTGCTTTTAAGGTATCTGCTTTAGTTTCTCTGCGTTAAGGGCAACAAATGCTAGCTAATTTTTTAGGTGTCTTACCTATCCTCACCCTCCCTTGTGTGCTCTCGCTTTTATCATGTGCTCAAAGTCCAATCCCTTGTTGTGTTTGCCCTTGATCTAATGTCCACATATGAGGGAGAACATACGATTTTTGGTCTTTTGGGCCAGGCTAACCTCACTCAGAATGATGTTCTCCAATTCCATCCATTTACCAGCGAATGATAACATTTCGTTCTTCTTCATGGCTGCATAAAATTCCATTGTGTATAGATACCACATTTTCTTAATCCATTCGTCAGTGTGGGGCATCTTGGCTGTTTCCATAACTTGGCTATTGTGAATAGTGCCGCAATAAACATGGGTGTGCAGGTGCCTCTGGAGTAACCTGTGTCAGTCTTTTGGGTATATCCCCAAGAGTGGTATTGCTGGATCAAATGGTAGATCAATGTCTAGCTTTTTAAGTAGCCTCCAAATTTTTTTCCAGAGTGGTTGTACTAGTTTACATTCCCACCAACAGTGTAAGAGGGTTCCTTTTTCCCCGCATCCTCGCCAACACCTGTTGTTGGTGGTGTTGCTGATGATGGCTATTCTAACAGGGGTGAGGTGGAATCTTAGTGTTTTAATTTGCATTTCCTTTATTGCTAGAGATGGTGAGCATTTTTTCATGTGTTTTTTGGCCATTTGAATTTCTTCTTTTGAGAAAGTTCTGTTTAGTTCACTTGCCCATTTCTTTATTGGTTCATTAGTTTTGGGAGAATTTAGTTTTTTAAGTTCCCTATATTCTGGTTATCAGTCCTTTGTCTGATGTATATTGGCAAATATTTTCTCCCACTCTGTGGGTGTTCTCTTCAGTTTAGAGACCATTTCTTTTGATGAACAGAAGCTTTTTAGTTTTATGAGGTCCCATTTATCTATGCTATCTCTTAGTTGCTGTGCTGCTGGGGTTTCATTGAGAAAGTTCTTACCTATACCTACTAACTCCAGAGTATTTCCTACTCTTTCCTGTATCAACTTTAGAGTTTGGGTCTGATATTAAGATCCTTGATCCATTTTGAGTTAATCTTGGTATAGGGTGATATACATGGATCTAGTTTCAGTTTTTTGCAGACTGCTAACCAGTTTTCCCAGCAGTTTTTGTTGAAGAGGCTGCTATTTCTCCATCGTATATTTTTAGCTCCTTTGTCAAAGACAAGTTGTTATAGTTGTGTGGCTTCATATCTGGGTCCTCTATTCTGTTCCACTGGTCTTCATGTCTGTTTTTGTGCCAGTACCATGCTGTTTTTATTGTTATTGCTTTGTAATATAGTTTGAAGTCAGGTATTGTGATACCTCCAGCATTGTTCTTTTGACTGAGTATTGCCTTGGCTATTCGTGGCCTCTTGTGTTTCCATATAAATTTACAGTAGATTTTTCAATCTCTTTAATGAATGTCATTGGAATTTTGATGGGAATTGCATTAAACATGTAGATTACTTTTGGGAGTATCGACATTTTTACTATGTTGATTCTACCAATCCATGAGCATGGGAGATCTCTCCACTTTCTATAGTCTTCCTCAATCTCTTTCTTCAGAAGTGTATAGTTTTCCTTGTAGAGGTCTTCACATCTTTTGTTAGGTTTACACCTAGGTATTTGATTTTTTTTGAGGCTATTGTAAATGGAATTGTTTTCATACATTCTTTTTCAGTTTGCTCATTGTTAGTGTATAGAAATGCTAATGATTTTTCTATGTTGATTTTATATCCTGCTACCTTGCTATAGCTATTGATGATGTCTAGAAGCTTCTGAGTAGAGTTT